AACAACATAATCTACTGTCAATATCATTAATAATTATATAATTATATATTAGATAATATTTGGAATGACTATTTGAATATTTTGAAGATTTGGAAAAACTATAGCATTCATAGGGTAAAATATCAAATATTATGACTATTTTCAATTTAGTACAGTTCAAACATACATACATCATCTAAACCACTTATCCTTCTGGGTCGCAGTGGGGTGCTGGAGCCTATCCCAGCTGTCATTGGGCGGGAGGCAGGATACACCCCGGACGGGTCACCAGTCCATCGCAGGGCAGACAGACAAGTCACACACACTCACTCACACCTAGGGGCAATTCAGCATGTCCAATTGGCCTGACTGCATGTCTTTGGACTGTGGGAGGAAACCGGAGTTCTATTCTAGCAGCAGGATTATTTAGAAACAGATGAGCAACAGCTCTGTTACCAAAGTAATGGTTAGTTACCGTCAGTAGTTAAACGAGAGATTTTTATTTATTCTTACATCTCTGTTTCAACTAGACAAAGTGGCAGAGGCAGGGATGCCAATTCTCACTGTCAAGTCTCTTTCTACCTGGGGATGCATCGATACTAATACTGGTATTGGGTATTGACCTAATACTGTGCTCACTTACTCAAACTCAGACTCATAAAAAATGCACTGATACTATCATATGATACCTCCTGATACCATATGACATAAGCCGAGTGTATGCTGCAGTGCTAATGAGCAAACAACCGCCAGTGAACGAGGGTCTGCCCCCACGAGAAGTGTTGCTGATGCTGTCACTTTAAAAATTCTTGTTTGGCATTTTACCACCATGCGTTCATTGTGTGATTTCAGGCTGTTTTAAACACAATTACAACCACTTCCTCAATATAGGTGGAGACGCGTAGGCTAGCAAAACGGAGGCGAAACAAAGTCGGCATTTGCAGAACAGACTTATTCCTTTGACTGAATAGAACTGCAAAATATAAAGCTTAATATAGTGAATTGACACAGTCACCCAATCTAGCTCTCTTTAATTATTTAAAATATAGAAGGCAAAGCACCTGCAGACTGTCAAAACTCAGAAGCACTTTTAATTTGAATGTTTTTTCACCTTCATTTCATACACTAAAGATAGAAACCAGCCATGCTGCCATTTTTCTGAATGGATTCCCTGTTTCAAGTGTTCATTGTTCAAAGAGTGATGTGTTTTATTTTTTTTCTTAAATGTCAAGATACCGAAACCAAACTGTTACAGTGGCCCAAAAAACATGATACATACCGAACTACGGGCCCACTGGAGGTACAATAGGAGGAGGGATGGGAACTGGTGGTGGTACGGGAGCTGAGGAAGGTTAGAGCAGCTGCTCTTGCTCACCCCCCCTCGATCACTGTCAGAATCCATACCACCAAATAGCTGCCTATGAAACAAATTTTTACAGTGTATAGAACTTAGTATATGCAAAGAACAAATTGTTACTGAAACCACACATGCAGACACTTATTAGAGATGAGACCGATCCAATCCTACATCGGTATCAGGTCCGATATTGATGTCACTTCACTCATCGGATATCGGATGGACAGGGCCAATCCACTTGCCGATCCGTTTTCCAGTCTGCAGCTTGCGGTGGACCATGAACCCACCGTAACGTATCATAACAGACACTTCACTAATCCAGATTCTCTTGCGCATCTTACCATGAACCCGCGGCAACTTCAGAGTGACTAAATTACATTAACTTTTGTTTGACGAAAATGTTGTTTGTGTCGAAAAGCAAGACTGCTACTTGTAATGTGTGTAAAGCCAGCATGCTAAATCACCTGTAGAGTACCAGGAGTTCATGCTCAGAGAGAAAGACACCGCCAGGCAGCGACTTTCGCTGATGCTTTCCAGAAACACAATATTAAGTGACAATATAGCAAGGCTGTTTGTTGGTTGCCTACTCCTACAAATAAATAATGTTTTAAGCCTTTAAATAAAGCGTTACTTCAAAACACAGACATATTCGCATGTCTGTTATGATCTCATGTGAGTGAGAAAATGTCAGTATTTAAACTAAAGCGGACATAAAAATCCAAAACTACACAGAGCGGACAAACCTATCTAGCTAGCTAGCTCGCTAACATATTAACCTAGCGTCAGCTAACATTAGCAAGATATATAGCTAGTATTAACTTACCTTGGACAAAACATGTAGACAATATAGCTTAATGTATGGCAAATATGAAATAATATAGTGATAAAATAACTCGCCCCAGACTGGCTGTTCAGACGTCTATACATCACAAAGAACCGAGTCGTGAACCAAACCCGTTCTAGAGCCAGACCGATTCCTCTAAATGGATGCGACTGTTAAATGGATCTGCCAGAAGAAAAGTGGATCCGGATCGGAATCGCTTGCTATCTGAGCAATTTAGACGTTCATGGGGGGCAGAGTGATGTCACAAGAAATAAAATGAAATGTTTAATTTTTCAAAAAGCACAAATGAATAGTGATTATTTTTATTCCATTTGTGACTACATGAGACGGGGGTCAGCTTCACGGAGGTCTCAGGCGTCAGAACTGCTGCTCCATTTAAGGTAGAACAGGAAAGTTCGAACAAGAAGCTGGTGACTTCAGCTTCATATCTCTGAAGAATTAGGGATGGGCAATAAATAATTGTGGCATCCCCCTCTCTTTGAAGGCATATGATTCCCTAAATTCTCAGTGAGTTTGCTGAACTTTACCCTGAATACAGCTTTCTTTTTGTCAGTTCTTCTTCTTCATCTTCTTCTTATCATTATCAGTGATAGCAATGGTAGTGGTACTGTTATTATCATGACCATCATACTATCAGTTTTATTATGTTCAAAGTGAAGCGTCTATTGATGTTATTAATAAATCACCAATGAACTGACTTTTTTAAAATGGAGTTTGGACGTTCATTGACTTCATAACATGACCCTGGTAGACTGACTACTTTTAAACACATTTTGGACATCCACGGACCATCTTTGTTTACTGGGTAAAGCCCAGCAGAGAGGAGCTGAACTTCACCCTCCTCTGTCATCATGTGCAGGGTCACTACAGAACATTTTTTGAGGGTCCCATTTCGTAGGTGAAGATTTCAATCATTACCCCCTGTAACTCAGTTCCAAGGGGCAAAGTAACACTTGAAAAAAGAAATAGAAATAGGAGCGAATGCTCGAGCGTAGCATTACAGTTGGAGCTTCACCTTCCACTGACCCTGTTCCTTCTGAGGTCACAGGTTGAACTAACAGCACCACTGGGAGGGGCTACAGCAGAGAAAGCAAACTCAAAAACACAGATAAAAGGGGTGCAGTGTGCTCAAATACTCTCACTCAGTCCAGCGGATACACTCGCCTTATACAGACGTGCAGAGACGCTGGACTGTAGATGATGGAGCTCCAGCATCCAGCAGCCGTGCTAACTGCAGTGATACTGCTTGTGGTCTGCTCCACTGCAGGTATGACTCAGGCAGCAGTGCTGTAACTTACAGTAGAAGCTCTCACTGTCGTAGCTCACTCACACACACACTTACTGACGTGTGGGAGTGTTTTTGAATTCCAGGTGTAACATTCTGAATTTACAGGCTACTGAATGGTGGCTTAATGCTGGTGAAATCAGCTGAGCTACGTGTTTGTCTGGCTGCAGGACAGATGGGAGCTGTGGTTCTGTGCATGCTTGCTCTGTAGATCCTGTTCTGAACTCTGAACTCTGTTTGAATCAATACTGAACTCTGTGCTGTCTGTTGTTTGGATTTAGTAGCTTAATCGTTTGGTATGTTTGTGTATATTTGGTTCGTTTGTGTATATTTGGGTTTCATAGTCGCTCTGCATCTGTAAACAGCTTGTCATACAACCATCATCATTAGAGAAGCTGTTTTTAATATAAAACAATATTTTTTTCAGGTTTAACTCAGGAATTTCTATAAAACAGATTCATGTTTACTTTTCATATCATTAATGTTATACTACATTTAAAAAATATGTATTTTTATTTTTAAAAATTGTCATCAGAGATTTTGGTCACTGGTGTTATCAGGAATCTTAGGTTACCTTTTAGCACAGTATTTTTACCTCTATTAAACTGAAACTATTAAACATCAGAGAAGAAGCAGCTCAATGCATGAGAAGGCGAGTCACACTTGCTCACTATATCAGGCAGCACATAAATTAATAAACATTTAAATTGTGTCAAAATAATGGCAAATATAATTTTTATTATTTAATTTTAAATAGTTGCACAAGGTCACCTGATCAGCCAATGAGTTAATTAATGCTACCTTAAATGTACTGCTCTGTTAATTCCACTGTCACCTTAATTTCAGATACCTTAAATTTACTACCGCCTTAAATTTACTGATATCTTAAATCTTATTCATGTATGTATTATGTAAATTTTTCGTATTTTTAAAAATGTTTTAATGAATATGTCTGATTTTTGGATGTTTTCCTCTGTGAATAGTAACTAATGCAGTGAGCATCTTTTCTCTCCCCTCTGTCCAGAGCCTGATGATGTGAAACTGGTGGGATGGGAGCAGTCGCTGTGCTGGAACAGTGAAGGTGCTTCATACTGGAGAGTGGAGAAGCGTGTCAGCAGTTCAGTGGTCCATAAAAGAGGCTGCTGTGGTGTGCAGACAGCTGGACTGCGGCTCTGCTGTTGTAACCCCACGGAGAAATACCGGACCTGGAGGTCCATTTAGTCTTCAGATTGAGTGTAAAGGATCTGAGTCAGCACTGAGGGAATGCAAGACTACTCCAGATGATCATATGCGGTTCCTTGCTGAAGTGATCTGTTCAGGTAATTCAGCAAAATGTAAAATGTGGTGCAAATGAGTTTTTGCAGCAGCACTCTGGGAAACAGTTGGTCAGGTTGGTCTCTTCAAGTTTTTTTTTTCTGCTCCTAAGGTCTGCATTTACTGAGCTGCTTTTAGTGTGGAAGATTCATTTAAAGAGAAATCTGCACAAGTTATATGAAGTTTGTAACGTGCGACCAGTAAGCAGACGCTCGCGGATGTAAAACAGTGAAGAAGCTTTACTTGGGGATTCAGACAGAGATATCGTCGTCAGTACACAGGCATGGGTCAGTTCCAAAGTCAGCAACAAAACACAGAAGGCGATCATAACAAAATAGGGCAAGGTAGATCAAAGTCCAAAACACAGGCAAAAGTCAAAAACCGAATATCCAACAAACCAGGCGACAGTACCAAAAGGGCAAATCTGAAAATCAGTGAATACGAGAAACAGAATCAAAACACAAGGTCAAAACACGGGAGATCAAAACCAGAAAGAACGCTCAGTAGTTTCACTAGGAAAGCAATACCTCGCACTGAACCTGACTATAGCCCGGGCTAATATACTAACTAAAACAGATCATGTGAGATAAGATACAGCTGAACTTGATCAATATTCAGGAGAACTAGAGCGGTGATAGGCTGCTGATGATCTTTCCGGAGTCAGGTGATGAGGCGGAGGATTCTGGGAATCGTAGTTCTGAGGCTGGCTGGCCGAATACGTGACAAATTTCACCTTTACTGTGTTAAAAGATCACTAGTATTTGTGGTAATATATGTAGTATATTGTGGGACTCTGTTGTATCTTGCCTCTAATTTCAGGTCTAGTGTATCCAAGTCTTAATGAGGAACATTCTCAATACGAATAACTGTTCTATTCAGTTCAGTAACTGTTTTACTATGGTAATCAAATTACACAGCTGCGTATAGGATACATGTCTACACAATGTCTATAGGAGTTGGTGTATTTGGATTGTTTTGCTAAATTGGTTCAAAGTCAGGGTTGGAAAACACATTTCAGACTTTTAACTTTTAACTGGAATCAGTAGATTTTTCAAAACACGGTTGTTCAGAACAGCTTATACATAAACTACAAACCAGCCACCCAGCCAGCATTTGCCAGCCCTGATCTGCCACTGATTGTGAGATGGCAACTCAATGATCACTGAATGTATTTGGGGTTACTTGAATTTGAGAAAAGCAGAAACTGCAACCACCTTTGAAGACTGAGCTTTGGAAAAAGATTTCCTCTTCTGTTAACTGTGTTTTCTGCTGTTTTCCCTGATGCTGTAAAATGAACTGAGCTGATGTTTTGAGCTGGGCTGTAGTGTTTCTTCCAGTGCTGTCATACAAGTCCTGAGCTGTGTGCAATGGGGTGTTAGACTATCTTAAAAAAAGACTTGTTCAAAATGAGGAAATATGATGAAATGACATCTTCCATTCTTCCATACTCTTTCACTCCTCACTCTGCATTGCCCTGTGTCCTCTCAGACTCTGTGAGGCTTGTGGACGGAGCTGGACGCTGCTCTGGGAGAGTGGAGGTGAAGTCCCATCAGTCCTGGACCTCGGTATGTGAGTCTGACTTTGACCAGCAGGATGCAGAGGTAGTCTGTAGGGAGCTGGGCTGTGGGGCTCCACTAACTTTACAGGGGGCGCTCTTTGGGGAAGGGAAACACCCGTTCCAGACCAAACAGTTCCAGTGTAAAGGCACAGAGGACCACCTCCTTAAGTGTAGCACCTCAGACAGAGAGAACATCTGCACACGTGACAAAGCTGTGGGACTCACCTGTTCAGGTAGGATTACACAAAATAATGAGTAAGAAGGAAAGTAGTTTAAATGATAATAAATATATCTGGATTAATGTGTCTTTCTGTGATAATGGATCAGCATCTTTCTCTCCTGTCTGTCCAGAACCTGTTGATGTGAGACTGGTGGGTGGGAGCAGCCGCTGTGCTGGAGACGTTGAGATGTTTTATACTGGAGAGTGGAGGAAAGTGAGATCAGATGAATGGCCCATGAGAGCGGCTGCTGTGGTGTGCAGACAGCTGGACTGTGGCTCTGCTGCTGCTGCTACAAATAAAAAATCTGGGATGGATATGAGCAGACCCAATGTTGGGGTTAAATGTACAGGATCTGAATCAGCACTGAGGGAATGCTGGAAGATTTATGATAGAGGATACCAAATTGAAGTGATCTGTTCAGGTAATGCAGCCAATGAAAGAAGATGTTTGAGTGATTTTCTAGCAGGGCTCTGTAGAAAATGGTTATTGACTGAAAGACACAGACAGAAATAACTACACAAGACTTCATTTTCATTTCATATCTGTTTCTTCAATGTAGCAAAGCAGGAATCAGGAAAGTTAGTCAGGTCCATTTGTTCAGTGTGTGTCTAATTCATTTGTGTGCATTTTGTGTGCTTAAGTCAGCTTCTTAGTCGCCAGCCACTCATTTGAATTTTCCGTACATGGTGCTGCAGTTACACTGAGGTGCCTCAAATGTAGGACGAATATCGAAAGGTGGCGAATATGAAGCTGACATTGACTTACCTCAATAAATAATCCCTAATCAATAAATAACAGTTAACTCAAATTTTCGCTTGGAGATGTTTACTAAGTAGCACAATGAAGCGACATCAGCCATTGGAGCTGTTGATCACATCTCGCAGGCTGGTCTAATGTGGCGTCCCAAACCACACACTTCTGTACTTCACAGACAACACTAATGAGTGCACTTCTAATGGGATATGTGCTATTTTTTGCACTGTATTTAACGTAGTACTATGTGGTTCAGAACACGAAAATAATAACACAGCAGGGGATATCAGCTGTTTCGATTTTAGTTCGTTTGTCATCACTACAACCACAAAGTCAAATTAAATCAAGTAAGTACACTCCAATACACTGGTTTGGCATGACTGTGACGTCATCAGAATACCATCCGTTGGAGGCTGCTAGTGTATGCAGATCTTTATATGGCACCCAGAATCAGAAGTTCACATGGCCAATAAGGAATAGAGCCATCCTTTGTCTTCCGAACAGCTTTGGTTCATTTTTAAATGTTGTCATACAAGTTAACCTCCTTTCTGCAGGCCCCCTAGTGGCCATTCTGTTGACTAAACCCTGATATTGTTTTAAACAATACAGTCAAATAAAATATCCTGTCCCTGGAACTCTGTTATTATTAGGACACCGTTGGCTCTCTGTGAGTGAAATGTTGCAACTCTGTGTTGAGCTGCTAGTGAGCAATGAGGGAAGTAAGGAGAGCTGTATAAAACCTCCTGCTGTGAAAACAATTCAGGCCTCTCCACAAAAACAGTCAGGTGAAGATAAAATGGACAGTGCAACGGCAGCTTCTTTTATATCCCTGAATGATTATGAACATTATGAGGTCTCACGTTGTTTCTTGCACAGATCTTTACCTCTCACTCTGTACTGACCTGCATGTTCGCAGACTCTGTGAGGCTCGTGGATGGAGCTGGACTCTGTTCTGGGAGAGTGGAGGTGAAGTCCCATCAGTCCTGGACCTCAGTATGTGAGGCTGGCTTTGACCAGCAGGATGCAGAGGTAGTCTGTAGGGAGTTGAGCTGTGGTTCTCCACTGAATCTACAGGGGGCGCTCTTTGGAGAAGGGAAACACCCATTTGGAACCAAAGAGTTCCAGTGTAAAGGCACAGAGAACCGTCTCCTTACCTGTAGCACCTCAGACAGAGAGGAGCAGAACTGCACGCATGGCAAAGCTGTGGGACTCACCTGTCAATGTAGGAATTATGCAGAATATGTGAAAGAATCCAATTTTAACGGTTTGCATAAATACACAGTTAAGGCTCTTCATCTCTGACTTTTTATACTCTCTCTCTCTTTTTAAGATGTGAAACTGGTGGACGGGAGCAGCCGCTGTGCTGGAACTGTGATGCTTTATGACAAGAAGTGGAGGACAGTGGAAGCAAATGGATGGTCAATGACAGAGGCTGCTGTTGTGTGCAGACAGCTGAACTGTGGCTCTGCAGTTGCGGCTACACATCGAGGGTTGGAGAAGAGCACATCCGAAGATGATGTCCGGATTTCCTGCAGTGGGTCTGAATCTGGACTGAAGGAATGTGCAGTTCATGAGATATATTGGTCCAGTTCCTCTGCTGGAGTGATCTGTTCAGGTAATTCAGTGCCTCAAAAGGAGGTTTTCATCTGGAGAAAAGTATGATTGAAGCTAAAACTAAAACGTCTCTAGCAGCTGCCAGAACTGTACATTCTGAAACGTTCAATACATTCTAAAATTTCAGTACATTCTAAAATTCAATAATAAAGTTGCATCACTGAGTCAGTCCTCTGCTGCTTAAATTCTGAAAGAATAATTTAAAAGTCAGAGATGTCCGGTCAAGTTTTCCAGACCATGCCTATTAACATCACATGCACAAGTTTAAAAAAAAGAGGCCTGGTTCTGGGTTTAAGTCCAGAATGTGATATCCACATTATTGTTGTTATTATAGTAGATAATTCACTCAAATCCACAGAAGACACGCCCTCCACGCCTTTTGACTGAGTTCTCCTTGAATTCCCTTTCAACGCACTCGCAGTCATCAGAGTCAGGACCCCCATGGACCCTCACAGAGCAGGTACTATTTGGGTGGTGGATCATTCTCAGCACTGCAGTAACACTGACGTGGTGGTGTGTTAGTGTGTGTTGTGCTGGTCTGAGTGGATCAGACACAGCAGTGCTGCAGTTTTTAAACACTGTGTCCACTCACTGTCCACTCCATTAGACACTCCTACCTTGTCAGTCCACCTTGTAGATGTAAAGTCAGAGACGATAGCTCATCTGCTGCTGCACAGTTTGTGTTGGTCATCCTCTAGTCCTTCATCAGTGGTCACAGGACGCTGCCCACAGGACGCTGTTGGCTGGATATTTTTGGTTGGTGGACTATACTCAGTCCAGCAGTGACACTGAGGTGTTTAAAAACTCCAGCAGCACTGCTGTGTCTGATCCACTCGCACCAGCACAACACACACTAACACACCACCACCACGTCGGTGTTACTGCAGTGCTGAGAATGATTCACCACCCAAATAGTACCTGCTCTGTGAGGGTCCATGGGGGTCCTGACCACTGAAGAACAGGGTAAAAGGGGGCTAACAAAGTATGCAGAGAAACAGATGGACTACAGTCTGTAACTGTAGAACTACAAAGTGCACCTATATAGTAAGTGGAACTGATAAAATGGACAATGAGTGTAGAAACAAGGAGGTGGTCATAATGTTAGGCCTGTAGGCCTGATCGGTCTGTATGTATGTGTGTGTGTGTATATATATATATATATATATATATATACATATATATATATTTATTTACACAGAGAGTGTTAATCATTAATAGTATTCAGAGTATTCTGGTCATTACTGTGGTGCATTGGTGTCTACAGGTCAGCAGGAGGCAACAACAGCTGCAGTCCAGAAAGAGAAGTAGAGCTGGTCTCCCTGTAGTCCAGAGCTCAAGAGCAGCTGGATGTGGAGTGAGGAGCTGGAGAAGAGCTGATCACGGCCATTGAGTAGGAGGACGAGGAGAAACAGGACACGAATTAGCT